ACCTTAATCTTTTGCATACATATATACTTTTGGAGAAAATTTACAAAGGTATTAATCCATTTATAATTTGTTTTACTTTTGATTATAGTATCAGAAGGAGATGACAAAAGAATACACGCTACTGATTGTGACTGGGTGCCAGAATACAAAGAACTGACAGACGAACAGGTGGCCGGCCTTTTTAAGTCTTATGGAAAATTCTGCAAAGCTTGTAATGTATGTCAGATTTGTTTATTATGGAAAATAAACTTACTCTATTGTATTTCTGTCTGCAATACTCAATATAAAATGTCTTATCAGACTTTGATAATGTAGTTGTAGTTAAATTTTCTTTTATGTTAAACCAAATTAACATAAAAGAAAATTACTACAATATTGTTACGAAAACAGATGAATTTATTTCAGAATGTTTGATAATGTAGATTATAATCTCCAAAGTTCCAACAGACTAAAGAATATCTAATCAGACTGTCTGTCTGACTAATATGCCTGATTTGTTTGTCAAATGTATGAACAACCACAAATTTTGTTTCAAATACTATCTACTGAGCCTGATTGACAAAATGATATTGAGTATAAACCTAATACATAACAAGTTAATACAATAAGTTTTATAGATCAGATTAGCATCTTGATCTTTTTTCTATTTTTGTAGTGTTTCAAGTTAGTTTTCCAAATGTATACATTGTGTAAATTGGATAATAAAAGTTCTTGCATTTTTTAATTGAATTTTTTAATTAAAAAAATGAAATTACAGAGATAAATACTAATAAGCTAGTATATCATAATACTACATTTACTAATTGTTTTTTTTATAAATATATAATTATATGGTTAACCCTTTTTTATTTCTAGAATGCAGAGTCTTGTTCGAATCATCCATGGTATAGTGAATGCGATTACAAATACTCTAGTTGTTTCCAACACGACACCAACCGAGGAAAATTTGGATGCACGTGGGCAGAATCAGCTAAACACAGGAGCTGTCGTGAAGAGCAACAGGCATTGCATCAAGGAACAGCATTTTACGGCTAATTGTGGAGTATTTTTAACATAATTATAAACTGTATATGCTATAGCATTTTTGGTAAATACGAGATAATTAAAATTTCAATTTTATTTCAGTGTTCCTGCAACAGTATTGAAAAGGCCTATTTACATTAAAAAACACAAGTGAATGTTTTTGAAATTCTGTATCATAATTTAACACAAGCTTCTCAATATTCAAAAAAAAGTAAGAATCGGTGAGGTATGAACCCAACATGTTAACATGAGAGGTTCACCTCTATACAATATAAGAGAGGTCAAAGGGTAAATAGGTACTGCTTATTTATACTATAAGTAAAAGATTAATTAGTCTGCCTTCATATTTGATTTACACACAAAGTTAAATGTTTCATTTTTATCTATAGATTATAAATAAACAGACACTTATATTAAGTGTGTACTAATCCTTAAGGCTGTATTTGGAGACAATAATACAATATATAAGGATACAAACAGCTTTACCAAAATCTTCAGCATATGTAAATTCTAAGGGCTTTTTATACAAAGTAGCAAATAAGCATTCTACTGTATTCCCTACATTAAAAAAAAACAATTAAACCAAAGAAACACATACCCTAGTTCTTTTTAAATGACATATAAGCCCTATCACATCAACTTCGACAAATTTTTAATTTAAGTTCAAGATACCATAAAATCAAACTGATTGTTTAAAAATTATGGAAACATGTTTACGGTAATTTAAATCTTTTTAATTATGATTTGCGTCCAGTAAAAACCCTGCAAAAATTTCCCAAAATTATATTTTCCCTATAATTTTGTACAATTGAAACTTCAAAATCCTTAAAAAATAGTCTTTTTAAATTGATATTTTGAATTAAAGATTTGTGGACAATTATTTATAAAAATTATTTCTATTTAACATATTATTAAAACTAAAATCACTTCTATGTCTCTAAAAAAACAACCAACATTGGAATAGCATTGCGACTGCTACTTCAGGATCGGATTCATCACTAGTCACGAAGTGCAAGATCAGTGGTCGAGTGGTTAAGACACCAGGCTAGTTATCTGGAGGTCGTGGGTGTGATTCTCACCCAAATCGCTTTTTTTTTTTTGCAAGCATTTGGGAACGTACCAAGCATTCAATACTATAACATGTCAGGCAGGGCAAACATCATTCGTATATTACATCGACATCGGAATATCATGTATAGATACCTCGTAGCATGTGTGGTAAAATGTAAGGCTTATTTCATTTACTGCTACTATTTGTATCAATATTTACACTGTATAATATATATATATTCAAATATACAAATGTAAATTGTATGCTTACAAAAAACTGTATACTGCTTATGCTAAAACCTTGAGAATAGTATTGTTATGGATATATAATATAAGTGTTTCAATCTTTTAAAGTTCATTATTTACTTGGTAGAAATTTAGATGAGAAAGATATAAACTTGTAAAAAAATTAGAAATTAAATGAAATTAATTTCAGTGAAAGTGTGTGATATAATTTCATACCTGTCAACATAAATATATTTGGCTCCAAATATTGCCCTCTTGTTCTGGCTGCTTTCTCTATATACTCATTCTTCTTGTTTATTTGAATCTAGCCCAGACATATATATTTTATTCTATACATGGTATACTATCAATAAAATATTCTGAAGTATACAGTTAATGTTGGCAAGTATGTAATTAAGTAAATATAACTTAATAATATTGATTTACAATAATAAACATAAACCTATTTAAAATGGATTTATTATATTTTAATATGACCTTATGAATGTAATTCCAACTATATGTCAAAATATTGAGTTTAATCTTAAAAAAACTCACTACTACAGTAAATGGGAAAAAAATATTATTGTACAATTTGTTAGGTATACCACAGTATCTTATTTGCTTTAGAAACTATTTTTATTTATAAAAATGATTCTGGTATATTAATTTTTAAATAATACAAACCTGAAATTTAAAAATAATCTCTTTATGTTTTGAAAATGTCAAAGTTAGTTACATAGTAACACATGTATTGATAATAATCATGAATAAACATGTTTAATTCATGAATAACTAATTTTTTTATGAATAACATAATAAAATGTTAAAAACCTAATGTGAATGATCATATTACAAAATATTTAATTTTTAGGTGTATTTATATAATTAATCCACTTAAAAAAAAAATTATTGCAAAAAGTAAATGCAAAGAGATTTTGATAAAGGTTTATTTAATAGTGCAAGTAAGATAATGTTTTAAAGTTTTTATTTGAGGAAACAACATGGAGAACACTAGGAATCTTCATTTATTTTGGCATGCAATGAATCAGGTTGAAGAAAAATAAGAAACAATTTTAAGAACACATACTTTAAATAATTTTCTAAGAATACTGGTTATTCTGAATAACACACTTCTGTATGTGTATGTTGCAGTTCATCAAGTACTTGAACCAGGTTCATGGAATGTATACTTGTCAAATATGTCCCAGCATCTTAGAACTATCTACTGCCAAGTGTGATGTTTTATTCAAAATTTACATGAGAGAAGATTAATTTAGAAAATATATAGAGGGCAGCATTTTATAAGTTCAGCATCAGTGATTTTGTTTATAGTTGTCCTATTTGATAAAAGTAATTCATAAAGTTTCATTTATTATGACAGAAGGGTAACAAGTATGGTGCACTTGATTATGTTTTTATCTTTTTCTGAACTGACATGATTTGTACATTGTAGCAACAGGTGAAATTTATTATTAAGAGGATAGCTGCATTTGGGTGGTCTGTCGATTAGACAGTCTGCGTCTACATAACGATTCAAAACTGGATTTTAGCTCTAAAAATTCAGGGTACATGCTAAGTCATATGTAACAATGCAAATTTATTTTTTGTGTCTGTGTGTTTTTATGAATTAATAAATGATTCTTACAAAATTTAATTTTGATGTTTTGAAATTTTGTATTCATAATATTAATTTATCAAAATCTATGCTGGAGTCGCTATTCATCTAGCTATGCCTGCTGTAAATATACACACAGACTTCTCAAGTTCGTAAACTGCATTTCCGTAACTATGACTTGAGATTTCCGTAGTACATGAAAAACTTCCGTAGCACACTTAAGCATGGAGATAATTATTTTGAAAATGGGCCCGATCGTCTTTGGAGCCCGATTTTCTGTAATTTGATGTGGAATGGAACAAATGGGACAAGGACAAGATTTTTAGCCCACTTTTACTTAGATTTCACAGCAATTCATCAGTAATACGGCAAGTATGAGTTGTCTATTAAGGCAATAAAACCAAAGATCCTGATGGAAAAGTCATTTCTGGACTTTACACCTATTTATTTAGGTCTAAGCCTATGATAAATGTCCGTAGTATTTTTGTCTATTTCCGTACGTGTCTGTACACGTCCATGCGAATCTTGCATGAATTAATGACTATATAGAATATATTGTATTCATGAGGTTAAAGATGAAATATGTTTATTCAATAAGTCATCATATCTGTCCCTAAACAAAAATATTTAATCCCATTGCAAGCCACTATTTGCCTGATTGGCGCTTAAGCTATTTGATAGGGGTGCTTGACAATTTCCAGCAGACCACCAATATGGAGCAAAGTCCCAGTAAGGGCCCCTGGTACTAAACAAAAAAAAAATCTAGGCTTTTGGGCCATTTTAAGTGTTTTCAGATGGTTTAGTATACAAACATCCGGTCCTCGGAAGAAGATAGGTTACGGTCTCCACATCACCGAGGGGTTATAGATTTCAGCATTTCCCAAAACTAGAGCAGTCAATATTTGTTTTATATACTTCATACATAGATTCTACTAGACCTAAAAAAAAGTAATGAAAAGAGATACCAAACAAGTAGGCCTGGCTTACTTCCCAGGCCTTGAAGATCAAAGGGCTAATCTCTCTCAGCATCGTAGAGGTGGCGTCCTATTTACCATACGTGCATGTCATAAATTGAATAGGCATCCACGCTGTTTGTTAGATGACCTTTAATTTTTTAAAGGGAGATGTTTTTCAGTTTCTTGGTTTTACTAGTCATGGCCGACAGGCCATTCTGACTTAACAGAGAATGACAAGACTGTTGTTTGTGGTGCCCCTAATGTACCAAATGACTAGTCAACTCACCAAAGTCTACAAAGTACCTTTCCAAATATTTAGTATAAATAATTAGTATGTTTGCTATATACTTAAAGTACACACACACATCTCCCATGAGACAAATGAGTCTCCCCGAATCAGGGAGGCCTAAAACATTACCAAAGATCTCCTCGAAGTGGCTTGGGACTTCTGCTTAATAATTGAACATGCTTCATTCATTCTTTTGAGGATGTAATAACTTTCAACAGAGGGCTCACTTTAAAAAAATGCTTACATGATATACAGTATAGTCCATATATATAATACATGA